CAAGCATGATGACCTTTGCCTTCAGTCCCAACAGAGGCAGGTGGGTCTCTACGGGTTTCAGGCCAGGCAAGGCTACATGGTGAGATTTTTGTCTCAAAATAAGGAAGTGCGGTTGGGGTGGAGGTTGGGGCTAGAGTTAGGGTGATCAGAATTAAGAGTCGGGCTTGGGGTTCAGGTGGCTAGTGTTGGGGTAAGGGTCATTGCTGGGGTCAAGGTTTCCAAGGCCTGTCTGTTCCCCACCGTGAGTCCCTCATGCCCCCTCCTATCCTAGCCAGTCCCTTCCCCCTGAGACCTGGCCATGGCCCCTGTCGCCAGGACAAGGGCTCAGCAGGCCCTGCATTGCCCCCTCCATTCCCAGGAGAGTACAACACCACTGTCACTACTCTCAGGACAGACTCCTCCCCCAGGTTCAACATGCTGTCCTTTCCCGTAAGAGATGGAATCCCTCCCCTCAGGAGCCAGCCTGGGGTCCCTCTCCTCCCCACTTCCAACTCCTTCTGGGAACTTGGCATCCTCAGAGTGCAGGGTTCCAGAACATTCCCTGGCTGCCACCCTCTCCAGCCCAGGCACCCTTCTGGACAACTGTGGACATAACTGCCCCGTGGTGGCCTCGCCCTGCATAAAGGCAGCAAGTAGACCATTCAGATCCTGCCTACGGGGACTTCGTGCCCCGGTGACCCCCACGTCCTGGGTCCACCTCTATGAATCAGATATTTCTGGTCATCTTAAAGGTCCTGCAGGTTATAAGAGAGGTCTGCCCAGTGGCTTTGAGGCTGGGTGGGGCTAAAGGCGGGGTGAAGGGTTTGTGTCTGGGGGAGCAGAGAGCAAGGCCCAGGGATTGGTTACCAGCAGGTGGAGTTGGGAATGGGGTCAGGAGGGACCGTGGACTAGGTTGAAAGTGGGCGTGGCAGGGTCCAAAATAGCACTGAGGAGAGCAGCCCGGACCGACTTGGGGGCAGGTCTGAGGGTGGAGATGTGGGTGGAGCTAGATGTGGGGACTTAATTTTAAGACTCAAGTCAGGCACACCCTCTATCCCAGCAGGAGGCAGCAGCAGGCGGAACTCTGAATTCAAGGCCAGCCTGGTCTACAGAGCAGTTCCAGGACAGCCAGGGCCACACAGAGAAACCCTGTCTGGAAGTATAGGGCTGAGAAAATGATCCTAGGCTGTGAGCGTAAAGGCTTGTAGGGCTGCGGGTGGAGCCAAGATCAGGATGTGGGCGGGGTAGAGATGGCCGGGTTGTGGGTTGGGCAAAGGTGGGGCTGTGGGCAGAGGGCAGTGGCTCCCACCTGGCGGGTGGCAGGAACAGACAGGTTGAGGCCGTCCACGGAGATGTTGACTGAGATGCTCATGCCAGCGAAGCGCAGGTTGCTCTTCCCCAGGATGGAGGCCAGTGCCTTGTTGGGGGCCTGGGAGGGTACAGTGAGTCACCCGAGTCAGATGCCTGGGGCCAGTGGGGCTCCAGACGGCCACAGTGTTCCCTCAGCCTCCCAAGACACACACCAGCTCTGCAAGACCACAGGCCACACCCACCTTCTTCTTCCAGGAGCCCCGGACACCGGGCACGGCCTCATGGAGCCGGTTGATGGCTTCCCTGCAGAAGGTGAGACCGCACTAAGAACAGCAGAGGCTAGGGCCAACGGATGGGCCAAGGAAAGCCGGGCCTGATTAGCTCTTTGTTCAGGGCGCAGAGGCAGGAAGACAATGAGTTCAAGGCCAGCCTGAGATACGTTGCACGGCAGAGGCCAGCCTGGGCTTCATGAGAGTGGGTGGCGGGAAGGGCTGGGGCAGAGACAGGACACAGGGCTGATGGGATGTGAAGAGTCCTGGGCTCCCAGTGTCCAGCACTGGGGAATGCATGCACAGCATGGCCCACCCGCCCTCTGTGGTGTTACTCAGCCCTGAAAAGGAGTGAGGGTTTGACACACACCACAGCATGGAGGGACCCTGAGGACACTTGTGATCAGTGAGACATGTGGTTCCTCACCTAGGGGTGAGCCTCACAAAGCATCTATAGAGCATTATCGTGATTGTGTTGAGATCTGTCCACCGTAGGTGGCACCATCCCCTAGGCAGGGGATCCTGGACCATGTAAGAGTGGACAGAGCAAACTAAACACAAGCGTGAGTGTATTAATTCGTCTCTCTCTTCCTTACTGTGACTGTGACCTCTCAAGCAGATCTAACTTTATTATTTAGTTATTATTTGTTATATAATTATTATGATGAGCATCTACCTGATGCACTGGATGAGCTGAATAAGCCCTGTCTCCCTTGAACTGCTTTAGCTGGGGTTTTGTCACAGCAGCACAAAGAGTGACTAGGACAGAGACAGGAAGCTACAGTGTGGGACTCCATGCTAAGAAACACCCAGAAACAGATGTGGATTTATAGGTGCTGGGTGGGCTGGGGGGATAGCTGTTCATGAGAACAGGACTTCCTTTTAGGGAGTTGGACCGTTCTGGAACTAGATAGGTCAGGTGGCTATAAAACACTATGCAGAGATATTTTAAAGCAATGAATTGCAGTGCACAGGGGCGGGTTACTGGGGCAACCGATCCCAGCTATTGTTTTGTTTGTTTGTTTGTTTTTGTCTCTTGGGACAGTCTCATTCTGTAGCCTAGGCTATCCTAGGATAGCCAGTTATAGCAAACCTCCTGCCTCTGTCTCCCAAGGGCTGGGATTCCAGGTGTGAGCCACCACACCCGGATTTCTGTCCTGGTTTTTAAGTTCACAGCAATTGGAATAAACGAAGCCCTTCCCATGACCCTGGCGAAGTCACACCCCACGGCAGGGCAGGCCGAAGGAAAACGGAGTCTGGAGAGTGTCCACACAGGAGAACAAGGGGCAGGTGCAGAGCTGAAGCATGGCCAGTGCTGAGTCCAGCCTACCTACTGTCTTTGGGTGCCTGGCAGGTCACCTCCAACCCACTATGCCACCCCCAAGAGGCCTCAGGACGGACAGGCCAACTGCAGCCTGAGCTCTCACCCACCCAAGGCCTCACCTTGTCACTTGCGTTCGGGTGTTGAAATCCAGAGAGCGCATGGACCGGAGCACCTCAATACAGCCCATGTACTGGGGGAAGAGAGAGAGAGTGGGCACTCAGCAGGCGGAGCCCAGCCCAGGAGCCCGTTCCCTGCAGAGAACGGAACTTTCTCCCCAGCTGTCCAGAGCTCTTCTCCTCCCCCCGCACATCTGCAGCCACTGCCCCAGGACCTTTGCCCCTGCCGTCCTAGATCTACCCCCCCACCTACCACTGAGTCCCGCCCATCCCCAATCCCAAGGCTCAACTTCATTGTCCAGGCTCTGAATGTGGGATGGTAGCACAAGCGTTCACTGAGTCCAGTCACCACCCACAGGGTTGGCAGACACGATCCAGACAGGGACCATCTGGCTGGCAAAGATGCAACACCAGCCAACTGCCTTCCACAGAAACCTCCCGGGGCTGACGCTGAGTTGGTAGGCCACTCGCCCAGCACGCATTAGGCCCAGGGCTCCATCCCAAACAGCCCAGAAATGCGAGTGGTGGCGCACACCCCCGAGGAGGAAGGAGGGTCAGGAGCTGAAGGCCATCTTCAGCTATACAGGGAGTCTGGTGTTCGCTTTTCCAGACAGGGTCTCTCTGTGTAGCCTTGGCTGTTCTGGAACTTACTCTGTGGAATAGGTTGGCCTCTAACTAACAGAGACCCGCCTAGCTAGAAGAGGAAATGACCAGAAGCGACAGCCATTTCCATCCAACCCCATCTTGGCAGCCGTGACACAGCTTCCATCCACAGGCTGGGGTGGGGTTTGTGGGCATAGGGTTTCAGGGCACCAGACGTCCTGGAGCTGCAGTTAGGGTTCCCAGGAGTCATTCAGCTGCGGGAGCTGGGAATCAAGTACTGGTCCCTCTGCAAGATCAAGAAGGGCTCCTAGCTAACAGCTGAGGCATCTCCCCAGCCTGTCGCTGACTTAGGTTTCATTGTTTATTCTGGAGTCCTGCTTGTTGCAGAGGATAGCCCCAAACTCCTGCGTTTTAGGAAAGCTGCAGCTTCCCCATTCCCTAAGTGCTGGGACAATATATATGTACCACCACACCCAGCCTATTTTATAATTCTGTGCTTTTTATTCAGGGGCTCACGTAGCCCAGGCTGTCCTCAAACTCACTACATAACCAAGTATGACTCTATACTCCGACTCTTTTAGCCTCCACCTTCCAAGTGCTGGGATTCCAGTCATGTGTCACCAGCTCTCAGTCACAATAAAATAAAATAAAACAGAGAGATCAGTGCATACATGTTTTCACCCTGTGACGCTAATTCTGGAATTTTACTTCACAGCCCATCAGCCCTGTGCCGTGTGAGCAGATCCCCATGGGTGGGAAGAGGCCAGCTGAGGCACCTACCGTCCTGTTCCCTCCCAGGACAGAACCTACCACAGCCCTCCTCTTGCAACTACTGCCTCAGTTTCTCCTAAGGAGCCCCAGCCCTGAAGGTGCTGAAACGGGACGCTTACTCCCAGCAGGAATGCGTGTCACAGTAGAGGGAGGCAAGGTGTCCCGTGACGGCTGAACTCGCTGTAAGCAAAGGTCTTTGCAGCCCAAGCAGTCGCCCTCGTGCGGGACGCTCGGGACACGACGATCTGCCTGTGCCCTCTCCAAGCTCACACTGAACCGGCCGCCCTCTGAATTGGCGAAGCCGGGCAAGCACGGCACGCGGGAGAAAATGGCCCCCAACAGTAAGATGAGACAAGCTATTTTTATGAACTTATATATTTCCAAACGCTGCTGCTGGGAGACAAGTGGGAAGGGGGCATCATCATGAGAACGGGGGCGTCGTCATGAGAACAGGGGGTGTCATCATGAGAAGAGGGGGTGTCATCATGAGAACAGGGGGCATCATCATGAGAACGGGGGGCATCATCATAAGAACAGGGGGTGTCATCATGAGAACAGGGGCATCATCATGAGAACGGGGGCATCGTCATGAGAACAGGGGGCGTCGTCATGAGAACATTTGTGTGGCTTCACATGAAGGAACACACAGCCTGCATCTGCAGGTACGTGGACTCAGGAGATGCCCCTAGGCAGGGGACCGGAAAGCCACTGACACTCTAGAGTGACAATACAGCACCCCTCATAGACCATGTGATGATTCTGCCAGTACGGTATCAGCAAGGACAACAGGGTCTCAGCAACACAGGGACCTTGGATGCACCCCGGGGAAGTTATCTAAAGTGACGTGACCGTCCAGGGTGCAAGGCCAGGAGCTGGATGAAGAGACCTGTGTCCCAGCCACGACACTCACATACCAAAGGGTACAGAGACGGCACTCAGGACCCGCCCAACACAGAACCACCAGGAAGGGGGTCTGCGTTCACATCTCTGGGCCCACGCGGCAGTGACCAAGGGAAGGGAACATACAGTACGGGGGACCCAGGCAGACGGAGCGGCAGTGCCAGGCCAGAAACGGGAGCCAGAGTGTGCCTAGAATAGAGACCGAATGGAAGGGACAGGAGGACAAAGGCTGGGAAGTCAGAGCCACAGGCCCCTACTGTGATGGCATGACAGCCTCCTTCACTCTGAGAGGAAGAGGTACGGGGAGCTACAGACAGGAGTGAGCTGAGTGTCCCACCTATGGGAGGGATGGATGGGGGGTCAGTCGGGGTATGAGAAGGTGGGTGGGTGGGCGCGTAGGGTGGTAATCAGATGAGTCAGTGAGTAGTAGATGAATGGATAGACAGACGGACGCTCGTTGGATTGGTAAGTGGGTGGGTGAGCAGGGAGGTGGGTAGCTGATGGGCAGCCTGTCAGTCCACGCATAGAAAAGAGCAGCAGACAGCATGGACTCCGTCAGGTGTGTCTCACCAAGGATACATAAGGGAGCGTCCGCCAGGCTCCCTGCTCTCGCCCCACAACCCTCATTCCTAGCTCCTCTCTCTCTCCCCGGCAGTGTCACTGCCCCCAGGCCCTCGGGGGAAGGGAGAGGCTAGGGAGCCGGTGACTCAGGGGTAAAGTTCCTGCCGCACAAGCATGAGGACCTGAGTTCAGATCCCCAGCAGCCACGTAAAAAGCAGGCATTGTGGTACACACTGATAATCCCACTAGTGGGGACACGGAGAGACAGAATTCCTGGGACTCGCTTGCTGGCCAGCCCCACCCAATTGGTGAGCTGTGGGCCAGTGAGAACACAAGCCCACTTGTGCATAACACTCACACACAGACAAACGCGTGCGCATACGCACGCACGCACGCGCGCGCGCACACACACACACACACACATGCGCGCTAAGGGGAGGAGAGGTGTGCCACAGGAGCAAGCACCCACATGACACAGTGTCCATCAGCTGTCATGCCTCGGGACACAAACGTGCAAGTCCTCCGCGGGGCTCTGAAGCCACGTGGCCCTGGCTCTGGCTGGTCAGGCAGGAAAAGCACCATGAATGCGGCCTGCAGGAGAGAAAGCACTTTCTCTAAGACCACAGTCACAGCAAAGGGGCTGGCCAGGGACGAAGGGACAACCTGCCAATTCCCACAAGGACGGGGCTGGCAAATACTTCCATCCACATTCTAGAGGCCAAAGACCTAGATGGGGCTGAGCCGAACAGGGACCTTGCTGCCTCTCCAGGCTTCCAGGTGGCCTCGCCCTCTCAGACCATTGGTTGGCAGCCACACCACTCACTCAGCCTGAACTGTCACAGCCTCCTTCCCCATGTCTTCCCGTGATATTTCTAAAGACAGCAGCCACCAGATTGGGACTTAGCCCTCCCTAGCCCAAACCCATCTCCACTGACTGTGTCTGCAGAGACGCTATGCTCAAGTATGGCTGAATTCTGGGGCACCAGGTGGGCATGAATTTGGAGCGGCACCTTCACCCCAGTACAAATGCCCACAACTTGGGTGCTTGATGGAGAGGCTGGGTTAAGCCAGTGCAAGCGGCCGGCCCAGGTTCTCTGACTCCTGACACGCTCCTCCAGGCCTGGGCCACCACCCAGGTTGGTAGCGCAGAACACTGGCGCCTCCATGCTGGGGAGAGTCTCAGGCACCCCTCTGCTTCACTGGGTCCTGCAGCTCAGAAAACATCCCCGAACAGTGACACTGGGCCCCGGATAAATCTAGATGGCCAGGCTTTGGTCTGAGCTCACCCGCGGGTTGCCTTCTGCCACAGGCTGTGGTCATAGGGACCCGACATGGAGGTCATCAGTCTCCTGGCCACAGAGCCATGTGAGGGGACCGGGTGGCTGTGACTACTGCACACACAGCCTCTTGCTGACACTGACCGAACAGCCTTGGTCCGAATCCCACGTGCCTCCGTTTCCCTACCCGCAAGTAAGGATGGTGCAGCCTCTCTCCGGGGCAAGAGTCCCGCTCTGACAGACCCTGGGGGCCATCTCCCGGTGTGGCTTGGCTATTCTTTGCTCTGACTTTGCCACGGTGGACCAGGAGGCCAACCTGGCTTCCCATACACTGTTCAGGCTCAGCCTGGGGGGCAGACGCCTTAGCTGCTTTACCCCACATTACCTTTCTGTCCCATCCACTCCGAGCGTGGACACCATTCTCATAACCACCAGCCACTGTCATCTCTCCCCCCTCCTCCCAGGTCTCCCTTGACTCCCTGTAGCACCCCTTTGGGTCCCACGATACTTTCTGACAATGCCCCTGGAAAGGTCCTTTGGAGGTCCCAAGCTCCATCTTATCCAAGTCTTCCACAGCTAGTGGAAAATTCCAGACTTGCTCCCTGCCACAGGATCTTTGCACTGCTTGTGTCCTGCCAGAGATGTTTATGTCACTTTCTGCCGCCCCCCAAGGGTCACAATTTCAGGTCTCAGAACTTGAATCTTCCAAGCCACTGTGACTAGAGAAGCCACAACTTCCACCAATGTCACACGATTTTACCATCCCATTGGCTGTCTTCTTGTGTGTTTATTGTTTCTCCCACTGCAATCAAAGACTTGGCAAGGTCTCTGCAAGGTCGATACTCCACGGGGGTTGATCTAACCCCCACATTGCTTACACTCCAACATCTGGAGCCCTAACAATGACAGTATCTGAACTCTCACCATGTATCCACCAGACAGGACAGGGCGCTGGAGGGACGGGGTGCGAGGCAGCTGAAGGCAGCATTGATGGGATGCTCTCACAGTGTGACACCAGAACCCCACTGGCACAGGAGAAAGGGGGTATAAGCCAGACACAGAACACGGACACCATCCAAAGAGGACACGCAGATACTGCATGAGCATGGGCCAAGAAACCAGAGGGGATCCAAACGGGGTCCAGGCATGTGGAGACCCAGAGCCATAGCCGGCACCAGGGATTCAGTGTCCAGGCTGAAGGGCAGGAGGGCTATCAGTTATCCGGGCTACTGCAACAAGGCACCACGCACGCTGAGGGACAGAACACAACAGGAGTGCTTTACCACTCCGTGCTGGAGGCCGGTCTGTGCTGATGGCACTGTCCCTCTGTGGCTCCTGGAGGGTCCCCTTCCTCTTCCAGCGTCTAGGGGCTCCCAGGAGTCTCCAGTGGTCCTTGGTTGAGACTTATCTATTGCTGTAGCCTCTAGCTCTCCTCTGAGATGTCCAGTTGTCTTGAATAGCCCAGGCTAACCTCAAACTCACCCTCTAGCCAAGGACAGCCTTGAATTCCTGATCCCCTGCCTCCACCTCCGAGTACTGGGAAGACAGGTATGAGCCCCATACCAGGTCCCACTTGTGTCGTGGCTTGGTTCTGTGGTCTCAGTCACTGCCCAAGGACCCACCCTGCTCCAGTGAACCCTCACCTCAATCCACGGCACCTTCCACAAACCTACTTCCTTCTTGTTTGTGTCTTTATTTTCTGTGTGTTTCATCATTTTGAGACAGCTCTGGTACTCACTACGTACCCCAGGCTGGCCTCCAACTCATAGATTTCTCTATCCGCCCCCCTCCCTTCCCCGGTGCAGGGATTAAAGATGCGGACCACCATGCCCGTCTTCTTTTTCTTTGGGTATGTAGCCCAGGCTGGCCTACAACTCTCGGCAATCCTCCTGCCTCAGCCTCCTGAATGCTGGGATTATAGGTGTGCTCCGCCGTTCTCAGCTGAACTCACTTTCAAAACAGGTCCTATTTGTGGATCCCCAGGGCAGAATCATCGGAGGACAAAGAATGAAGTTCCAGGAGTGGAGGCAAGCATCTAGCATCCCAGTATCTGGGGAGTTGATGAGGCAGGATGGCCGCCCGCAGTTGGAGACAAAATCCCATCCCCAAATCGCTATCCCCCTCCCACCCCTGCCAAAATAAAAGGGATAAACACAGCAAGGTCCATCACTTCATCAGTTCTGATGTCGAATCTGGAACCCCGAGTATTGGGCCCTGAGCTCAGGTTCCACGCTCCATCCAAGGTCTTTGCGTCCCCACTAGATCGCTGCGAAGTCGCCTTTCCCTGAGGCTCCGAGGGTGAGGGGGTCCTCTGCTCCCTGGTCCTCGCCTTATGGACTCTCACTCAACAGCAGGGGGGGTAGCCTGCGCATGCGTGTGTCCTCTCCCCACCTGCGCCCTCTCCCCGCCCCTCCCCACGTGACGCCGTGGGAACCCGGACCCCAGCGCCTGCGGGTGGGGGCGGCCAAGAAGCACGCACTGGAGACGGGGTTCCAGGTCGATGGGGGAGAGGTCCCTTGGCTCTCGGGGTCCGGGAAACCAAACTGAAGAAGTCCCCGACCCCGGCGTGCCGGGAAGAATGGACGCACTCACCCGCACGATGTAGGAGACCCCGGGCCCCAGGACCCTGGCGTCGGGGTGCAGCCAGCCGTGCGCCGGCTTGTGAATGAAGCCGCCCTTGCGCGCCCACTCGTCGGCGACGTCGGGGGTGCCCCGCGCTCCCCGCGTCCCCGAGCCCCGGCAACGGCCGAGCGCAGGCAGAGGACAGGGCGCGGCGCAGCGCGGTTCGCAGGCACCCAGCACAGCGGCCAGCGCAGGGACCCCGGGTTCGGGCTGCGCTTCTGCCGCCCCCGCCGCGCGCGCCGCCGCCGGACCGCGACCCAGGAAGCCGCCGGGCGCCGCGAATTTCCATTGCGGCATGCGCGGCAGCAGCGCGCAGAAGGTGGTGGGCGCCTCGGGCTCCGGGGCCGCCCGGCCACCCGGACCCTGCGTCATGGCCGCGGCCGCCGAGGAGCCCCGGCTGAGCCTGGCGCCGAGCCGTGCGCTCCTCCCCACCGGGTGATGTCACCGCTGTGCTTAGCGCGCAGCCGCGGGGGGCTGCGCTCCTGGGACCCCGGCCCTGCGCCGGAGGCGCTGCATCCGACCCTGAACGGCCTGCCGAGGCTCCCGTAGGGGCAGTCGAGTCACGCTCTGACCCGTGGGGAAACTGAGGCTAAGGGTCGCAGATGGGAGGCGGGGCGCGATCCTCCAACCTCGAAATCCTCTTTCGCCCCCGCTCCAGCACCACCCTACCCTGCCTTCTTCTAAAAGGAGAAACTGAGACCCGAGGTAGCAGGTGTGGGCGTCCTTCTCCAACCTCGAGGTTCCCTCCACCCTCCTGTCACCATTCCAGCAACATCCGTCTCTTCTTTCCTTCTAAATTGGGAAACTGAGGCCTGGCTTTGTAGAGGCATCCTCGGGTCCCTGTGTGCCCCCCTAAGCCACTGTTACAGCCAGACCGTGCTTTCTTTGCTGAGTAGGGACCCTGAAACCGAGGCGGGGCAGTAGCTCAATGGGGAAACTGAGGGCTAGGGTAGGGAAAAGCACCGTAGGGAATTGAGGTCCTCGGGTGGCAGAGGCAGGATGAGAGGGTCCCAGTCGTGGAAACTGTCTCAGCCATAACCTACCCACTTCTAAATAAGGCCTGGGGCAGGGCAAAGGCTGGGGTCCAGGATCAGAGACCCTCAAACTCGGAGGGTTCCCACTCACACCTCCACCTGGACCCTACCCTATTTCACTTTTTAGTGGGGAAACTGAGGCCTGCAAGTGAACCAGGTGCCCAGGAGGCCGCAGGTGGGGCTGCATCAGAAAGGGTCTGAGAGTAAACACAGGCCGCCTCTGCTGGCACCCATAGGCTCTGAAGGGTTCCGATTAGAACCCGATGATGAGAACTCTCGGACCTGCCACCAGCCCCATACCAGGCTCCAGGGACCTCTGAGATGCCTCCCTCAGACCCCAAGGGTATTCCTTCTGTGAGGGAAAGGGGTTGTCATTATCACCCTGCCTCTGTCCCTCCCTTCCCCCCCACCCCCGACAGTCCTGCCGGGAAACAAAGAGAAGAGGACTGGGCGGGGCGGGGCGCGGAGGAGGGGCAAGGCCAGCCAGATCGATGGTGAGAGAAACTAGATCTCTGGCTGCGAAGGAGGTGGGGTGGGGTGCTCGCGCGAGGACGCTCAACACAGACACACCACGGAGCCCTTGGTGCTCTCGGATGAAGGAGCAATGTTGCTGAGCTGTGGGGTCCGAGAAGGGACTGTGGAATCCGGCAGTGTGGATGGACCCCTGGGTTTGAGTGACCATCTATCTTACGTCTCTCCATTTCAATGGGGAGGTTACAGGGAGGGTTAACGCTACTCTTTTAATCTGCAGTACAAATGACAGTAAATCATACTGTAATCCTTTAAACTCCTACACATCCATCAAAGCCCAGCTTCACAGTACCCCTTTCCAAGAACCTAGCTGGTCCCACAATCCAAACCAGGCTCTTAACCGGCTTCCTGTGCCAGGATCTCCCACTTGCCCCATCTGAACTGAAAGAGGGCCTGGCCCTGGAGGGCAATGCTTAGTTTTCATTTGTGGTGTGACTACAAATGCTAAATAAACCAATGTGCACTATGCTGACAGCTGCTGGTGGAGGAATGATTTATTGGTAACTCTAGAGGGGGAGGCAGGGAGGGCAGAGGCATCAGGGCCCCCTCCCGGAGAATTCTCCTGCCCCATCTGCAGAAACCCAAGTGGCCTAGACGCCGAATTCTAGGACACACAGCTCCCTGTCCAGCCAGGGAAGGGACACTTCTCCCCGGCCTGGCCTGACCTGGGAAACTGGGGCCCAGGAGGGAGACTCACCCTCACCTGGGATGGGGCCGTGGGTCACAGGCCCCAGGGACAGAAAGATCAAGTGGCCTCAAAGGACCCCGGGCTGCAGCAGGACCTCTGCCCCATTCTGAAGAAACTGGGCCCAGAAAGGGCCCCAGCTGCCTGTACCCAGCAACCATCAGCATTTGGTGTCCCCTGCCATGGTTGATGCCCTCTTTGAGTGACGGATGCCCATGCTGTATGCTGGGGCCCGGGCCCGGTTCACGGTGACCTGTTCTGGGTTGTGGGCACCAGGACCAGGTGTCTCCTCCAGGGGCCGCGGAGTTCGGGGTCTCCCCAGTATGCTGAAGGCCGGCCTACGCTGCCGGTAGGTGTTGGGGTCAGGACTGTCATACTGCCCAGGGCCTGGCATCTCTGAGGGATCCTGAGGGGGGCGTGCTGGGGGCGTGCGGCCCACAACTGTGTAGCTGGGGCTGCTGGGTTTGACAAAGATCTGTGATCCCCAGAGGGGTGGCATGGTGTAGGCATTGGGGGCAGGAACAGAGGTGTCAGGGGGCTTCTGTCGGAGTCGGGGGCCCAGGGTGAAAGCTGGGGGGTTCCGCTGGCGTACCGGGGCCACCTTCTCTGGGCTGTAGGCCCCAGGGCCTGGTGTCACCTCCAGACCTGGAAAGTGAAGGGCATTGGGACAAGATGGAGGCCTCACTTGACGTGCACCAGAGGTCACACAGACCCAGAGTCTCGCCCCAGCAGCCTTCCTCACACATGCATTCTTTGCCTGATACCCCCCTGCTCAGCCCCAGGCCAGCAAAGGCTCCCACCACCTTCCTCCAACCACCCCACAGCCCAGTCATACACCTCCTCCTACTCCCCACACCCACCAAGTGGTACCTTCTACCCCTCCAGAGCTCAAGGCCTCCTGGATCATCCTCTCTGAAGAACTGGGCACCCTGAGATGGACCCGTAGGTGAGCCTGAGCCCACCACACCAGGAAGTTCACGAAAGGTGTCTAAGCTGCTGGTTTCCTGCATTTGACTCAGCATTCGTGTGACTATAGAGCTGGGGTGGGCAGTGAGAGGAGGCTGAGCAGAGCCACAGAGCACAGCAAGATGGGTGGTGGCATGGGTGGATGGGTGGATGGGTGGGTAGATGGGTGGATGGATGGGTGGATGGGTGGGTAGATGGGTGGATGGATGGATGGATGGGTGGGTGGGTGGGTGAATGGGTGGATGGGTGGGTGGATGGGTGGATGGATGGATGGATGGGTGGGTGGGTGAATGGGTGGATGGGTGGATAGGTGGAGGGATGGGTGGATGAGTGGATGGATGGATGGATGGGTGGGTGGGTGGATAGGTGGAGGGATGGGTGGATGGATGGATGGATGGGTGGGTGGGTGGGTGGGTGGATGGGTGGATGGGTGGATGGATGGATGGATGGATGGATGGGTGGATGAATGGGTGGGTGAATGGATGGATGGGTGGATGGGTGGATGGATGGGTGGATGGATGGATGGATGGATGGGTGGATGGGTGGGTGGGTGGGTAGGTGGATGGGTGGGTGGGTGGATGGATGGATGGGTGGGTGGGTGGGTGGGTGGATGGGTGGATGGGTGGGCGGACAGACAGATGGACAGATGAACAGATTGATAACATGTGCAGAGAACAAAACCATTTCTGAACATCCCTCTGGGACCATTATGGGGTCAGAGTTAGGCCCACCTTCTGGTAGGAAGTGGGGTCACCATGTGCTGCCACCTCAGCTCAAGGCTGTGGGTAGTGACCCTTCATCTGAAACTCAGATTTATCGTTGCAAACACTGAAGTTCTCAGAGCCCCAATCATGCAGGAATCATGTGGACTGTCTCCCAGGCCATTTCCCGCCACACACACCGTACTCACCTCGAGTCTTGCCCCGACCCTGCATGGAGTACGCAGGGGGACAGCAACGGCCAAAGCGAGTAACTTTGGGGTCCAAGAAGTAAACAGGTCCTGGGCTGGAATCCTGAAGAGGTGCTGGAGAAAGGACCCAGAATCCCAAAGGTGGCCTACGCCCGGCCCGGAGCCTCCCTGGAGCCTGAGGTATATCTCAACCTTGGAGGCAGCCTGGGCAGTACTGAGGCCCCTGAGAGGGATCAAGCAGAGGGACTGTGCGAGCCATGCCAATCCCAGCAGAGCCTTGGCTCACAGGGAGTCACCTCGAGTCACCCTTGAGATGGCTCAGCCTGCCTGACCCACATTTTCACAGCAACACGGAAGGAAGAGATCGCTGAGGCCAGAACTGGTCACCGTTTTCACAGTTGTGTATGT